GCCCCACCCTAGCACCTCAGAACCCCTGACCCCAGGGTCATGAAATTTACCTTTTTGGTAGATGCAGCCTTATTAAACATAACTATATACGTATTTAGTTTACTTAATGCCCAGGAGCAGAGAAGATTTTCAAAGAATTTATTCATTTTCACTGCATGTATATAATATATTTAGCCCCGCCCTAGCACTATAGAACTCCTGACCCCAGGGCCATGAATTTCATAATTTTTTTAGAGGACTCAATGCTGATTACAATCATGCCATCAGTTTGACTGCTTGATGTCCAGGAGTAAAGAAAAAGATTTTTAAAGATTGCACTAATTTTAGTGGTTTTTGCCCCACCCTTCAGGTCCCAGGGGGGCAGGGACCATGAAATTCATAATTTTTGTTACCCTTTACCCATAGATGCTTTGTGCAAAATTTGGTTGAAATTGGTTTAAGTGGTTTCAGAGAAGAAGCTGAAAATGTTCAAATGTTAACACACAACTCACGACAACGGACGAAAACGGATAGCAATAGGTCAGGTGACCTTAAAATTTAATTGGCGCAGACTCGGTTGACAGTGGTTTTCTTTGGGTGAAAATTTAAAATTTTTACCCTCCACTACATTGAAAATGAATATCTGTGTGATTTATACCATAGCGTATTTTAAACGAGAGGCCCATGGGCATAACAGGTCACCTGAGAATCATGCAACAACTTTCAAATGATAGAATTTGGTTCATGTTTTAAGGTAGATGCTATGGCTATGGTTGAAAGAGGCTGGCACCATTGCTAATCATAACTATGAACTTGGCAATTGCTTAGTTTGGTTACTTAAAGGGGCTGGGTGGTCGTGGTCATTCTTAGACTATTTCGATCTCCTTTAGAAGAAGAGCTCCATATAAAGATATACAAAAATAATCAAATTTTAAAACTAATATGTATGAAATATTTATTTGTCAAATGATAGCTGACAGGTAAAGATATCATATCTAAAAAAAATTAAGTTATATCTGGTGGTAAATTTGTTGTTAATTTGTTGACCCCAAGCCTTCTTAATACCCATAGGCAGGGTGCGGGAACAAAAAATGCTTATCAACTTATCAGTAATATACAGCAATAATCAGAAGTGCCCCTACCAAACATGAACCCCTGACTCTAGATCCACTCATTGCACAATTTTTGAAAAGGCACACTTGCTTATCAGAAATGGTTGATTAATACCAAGGAGCAGATTTCAAACAATTCATTTTCAGTATATAAGTCGCGCCCCCCCCCCCCCCCCATCGTATCCCTGACCCTAGGGCCTGGAAATTCACAATTCTGGAAGAACCCTTGAACATCATAACTATATAGATAGTTCATCTGCTTATTACCCAGGAGCAGAGAAGATTTTCAAAGAATTAATGTATTTTCACTATATAATCATTACAGAGCCCCGCCCTAACACCAGAACCCCTGACCCTGGGGCCATGAAATTCACAATTTTGGTAGAGGCACTCTTGCTCATCATAACTATGTACTTAGTTTACTGTGAAATCACAAATTTTCGTGGGGGGTCATTTTCGTTGTTTTCAGGGTATGAGCAGACCCACGAATTCATGTCAACCACGAAATGTAAAATATTACATACATAACTACTCAACAATTCTTCATCCACGAATTCAAATCCCCACAAACCAAGAGTTTTTACTCAAAGCACGAAAATTTGACCTCACGAAAATATGTGATTTTACAGTATTTAATACCCAGAAGCAAAGAAGAAGACTTTCAAAGAATTAATGCATTTTCACTATATAATCAATAGAGCCCCGCCCTTACACCAGACCCCCTGACCCTGGGACCATAAGATTCAAAATTTTAAAAGAGGCAATCTTGCCCATCATTACTATGTATTTGGTTAGTTTAATCAATACTCAGAAGCAGAGAAGAAGATTTTCAAATAATTAATGCATTTTCACTTTATAATCAATAGAGCCCGCCCTAACACCAGAATCCCTAATCCTGGGGCCATAAAATACACAATTTTAGAAGAGGCACTCTTGCTCATCATAACTATGTATTTAGTTAGTTTATTTAATACCCAGAAGCAAAGAAGAAGACTTGTTTTAAAGAATTAATGCATTTTTACTATATATTAATCAATTGAGCCCCGCCCTAACACCAGAACCCCTGACCTTGGGGCAATAAAATTCACAATTTTAGAGGAGGCACTCTTGCTCATCATAACTATGTACTAAGTTAGTTTATTTAATACCCAGAAGCAAAGAAGAAGACTTGCAAAGAATTAATGCATTTTCACTATATAATCAATAGAGCCCCGCCCTAACACCAGAACCCCTGACCCCGGGGCCCTAAAATTCACAATTTTAGAAGAGGCACTCTTGCTCATCATAATTATGTATTAGGTTAGTTTATTTAATACTCAGGAGCAGAGAACATTTTCAAAGAAAGAATTTTCACTATATTATTAATAAAGCCCCGCCCTAGCACTAGAACCCCTAGCCCTGGGGCCATGAATTTCACAATTTTGGTAGACTCAATGCAGATAACAATCATGACAAGTTTGACTGCTTGATGTCCAGGAGTAAAGAAGGTTTTTAAAGATTGCACTAATTTTAGTGGTTTTGCCCCACCCCTCAGGGCCCAGGGGGGCAATGACCATGAAATTCACAATTTTTGTTCCTCTTCACCCATAGATGCTATATGCCAAAATTGGTTGAAATTGGTTTAAGTGGTTTCAGAGAAGAAGCTGAAAATGTTCAAATGTAAAAGCACGACGGACGACGACGGACGAAAACGGATAGCAATAGGTCACCTGAGTTTACCTAAAAAACTTTATGCTTTAATAAAAACAGTTACAAACCTACTAAAACCTTTTACTTTTAATTTTCTTTAAAGAAAGAAAACAAACTACGTGATCAAATTTTCCTTTTTAATTATAACCTCTTAGTAACAACAATTAAAACTACATGTACAAACATGGATCATAATACTACTAACAGTTTCTTTAAGGAAAATTAGCATTTTTATATCTGCCTGATAATATTCAGTAAAGACGACTGATCTCAGAAATTGGGTTCAATCGTGGTACAATATTAATACATGAAAGTAATATCGACTCGTTAACATGGGATCATATGCCAGATGTCTCTCACGAGATGCCATTTTACTCATTTAATAAAATCTCATTCTTTTTTTTTTTTTTTTTGCTTTTCATTATGAACAACCTACAGTGAAACCTTCGTAAATCCGGACATTTTTTTTTAAAAAGAATCAACTGCAAATAATCGAAGTACTGAAAAGTATGATACATGCAGCTCAAGATTTTATCAACTACATAAGCTTACTTTACAAAAGCTCTATCTAAAAAGTAAGAAGTAGATATCTGACCACTGGTTTAATTAACTTGGTCGCTTAATAATTATTTGGAAGGGGTAGTAGTGCACTGGGGTTGTGATTGGGTAGTGCCTCAGGTAGTGTAGATTCAAGCCCCCCCAACCCCCCCTCCCCCCCGTAAACTTTTCAATACTGAACTGATATGCACTTTTTCCTGCCATTGTTCTCAGATGAGCGATGTGGCCCATTCGCTTCTTGTTTATCAAATGGTTCGCTCTACAGTATGTATATCTCTGGTCGTCCATCTTATTTTTTTCCAGACGGTGAGCTAATTACATGTGACTACAGCTACTTTCCTGCCATCTCGACTCTTTTTTCAAATGGATGTTACGAGACGAGATAAATTCTACTTGACTGCCAAATTTCTATCAAAACTGCAGGAGAACAAAGAATTTCCATGAAATTCTATTTTTAGTTGCAGTTGACTTGACCAGAGACAAAACTTATTAAAAGGTTTGCGTATGGAAATAATTTCACAAATTTCTATTTAGTTTTCTTTGCATATCCAATCAAACATCGATTAAAACATAAGCAAAGAACTATATGCGGTATCTTGCATATCTTTGCCCCCACAAAATTCATATTTTAAAAATTTCTTGAAATTTGCTGAATTGTATAAATTGTACGAGAAATATAAATTAACAAAACCTCTTATAGTTTCAAAATAGGTGACTAACAATTTTTGTTTTTATGACGTCACAAACTAGACGGACTTTATATTTTTTTCCAGAAAGCGGAAAAAATGGACAAAATTTTAGATACAAAATTTATAGAGCGCAGACCTGCTCAAGAATAATATTTATATATTTCACTGATATTATCATTTTACACACATCAACATATTGAGCCTGCGCAGACCTGCGCTCGGGGACATTTACATTCTCTATCCAAAGTTGTCGTTCCCGCTACCCTCCCACATACACCTCTGTCAACGCTTGTTTTATACGATTCTTAGAAAAATTGTAAAAGATAAAAAGTTGTATTAATAATTGTTTTTAATCACATTTCTTAGCAGAAAACATTATTTATTTTAATTTATTACACCTTAAAAGTATTTTTTAATTAAGACTTTAATTTTTACTCCGCAAAATAGTTCCCTTAAAACTTTGAAGATTAGTCGTTTTGAGGGATTATAGATTTAAAATAAATGATGAATAATCATCTTCATCAATAATTACAATAATTAATTTAAACTTAAAATTTCCACCGTTTAAAATTTGTGCAAGAATCTTGTACAACGAGCGTTGAAGGAGGTGTATGTGGGAGCGTAGTGGGAACGACAACTTTGGATAGAGAATGGGACTTTTACTCAAAATATCGACGTAAAATGTGCTTTTTCCTGTAGAAATCATGGGAATTTTAAATCCACGTCATTGTTATTTCAAATAAATGACGTCATTGCTATAAATGAAAATATTCAGTGTTTTGAAGTTTGCAGAAATTCACCTGTTTTAGAACATGATTATATATTTATCCGTCAAAGTTTGATTTTGGCGGCAAATATTAGTCCTTTCCGAATAAAGTCCTTTTGTCTATGTGTGCTCCTCAGTTGTTGGAGGCGTAGTTAATTTTGGGGAAGATAAGACACATACACCGAACCTTTGCATCAGCTATTCTCGGTTTTAGTATTGCTTTGTTTAAACGTGTACACTGTTCAATTTTCTTATTTTTTCAGGCTATTTTAAGAAAATATATCCTTTTCCTTACAATTTAATGTTTAGGAAAGCCAGTTAATTAGTAAATTTCGTTTTTAAACTATGGTCGATAACAACTGTACTTGTCCAAAAAATTACTGACTACTCTTGTCAATTTTCATCTCTTTATCTAACTATTTGCTCTATTTTAGTTTTAAGTAGATTTTCAGTTATCATTACAGTCTTGACCCAGGATAAATTCGATGATGATGTCTAGTAATATATAGACTGGACGCTCTATTGTCTGTAGACAGGATTTTTTTTTTATCATAATGATGACACTAGTCTATAGACTGAACTTTTGTGTACTCCGTTGAGTGGAATCGAACGGTGGGGGACGAAGTGGCTGTCAAGTTACTCATCTCAGTGTTGGTCGTTAGACGGTTCTGTAAAAAACACTTGAAAACTGATACAAATCCTTTCCTGAAGTTCTTGTTCATAAAACAATATGTTACAGGATGAACAAACGTGGACACATAGGCCAGAAGAAGCATCAGCGACCAGGCAAGATTCGACACGCGACTGTGAATGGATTCGTAGTGAATGATCTTCCAAGTGCTGCAGACGTACAGCGGTGTCCAACAGATAAAATACTCGAGCACAATCACAACCAACATTTTGATGACTCGTCGTCTGCTTGATATACTGTGACGTAGATTAGAATGACGTAAGCTTACGTGGTCACCATTTTTCTGTTGATTTCCTCGAAGAGGCAAGGACACCGATGAGTTATCCGCATCTTTCTTGGACGTACCAGTCCCGTCTGAAACATTAATGAACTTGATTATTTTATCATTTGGCATATTAAGAAATTCATTTTAAATGAACTTTTAAGATAATTCAGATGTATTCATTACAGGAAACTAATATTAAATTTCCTTATGAATGGACTTGATATTCAATAATTATGGTCAGGTACAAGGAAATCAGCACTGCATCCATCTTTTTTATTTGGCCATACAAGTACTAGTAAATGCCACCATTTATGCATGCATGGTCTTTTCTTTAATACATCTTTTCCTTGTAATTTGCAAACCTACCTGCATTGTCATTGACCTGTTGAGTGATATCTGCCCACAATCTAAATGCAATTCTTCCATAAACCAGCGCCATAATGAATAAAGGGATGATAAACAAGATCGCACATAAGGAAACACCGTACACAATTTCAATAGTCCTCATATGTTTTGGCCAAATTTCGCGACAAGCATGGCGGTCTTTGTTTCCAATTTGTATAAGTTTCTGTGAGGCGGCAATTGGTATCATCAAGGTCAAGGCCAGAAGCCATATTCCAAGGATGCACTTATAGGAGTGGGATCGAGTCTGCCACCGACGAGATCGGAGTGGTTCAACAATGGCAAAGTATCTTTCCAGAGAAATCGTGACGATAGTAAAACAACTGACTCCCACAGAGACAGCTGAAAATAAATAAGAACTGTTTGTTTAAAAAGTTCATGATGCAAATAATACGATTCTGCTTTTAGAGAGTGAACATATTTGAATGTGAAAAAAGAGAACAAACATTATACGGAGCAAGGACCACTATCTTCGTAAAAAAAAATCCATGATACGGATTCTAATTAATTAAAAAAACTAATTTTGATCTGCTCCAAGTTTGGTTTTTATTCAGACACGTAGCATTGTTTTTAAAAGAGGCCAGACAAAACAAATGTCTGAGACAAATATCGGGAAAAAATGCCAAGCTAAAGAAAAATTTTTAAAACTCGAAAACCCTATTGGTTGAGAGGGGGTTGGGTTTCAACTCCTTTTACTTTTATTCAAAATGGCCAGTCCCTCCCCTTTCATACAACAGAACTGTACAACATTCTTGTTTTAACAGACTGGTACATATGGATGAAGTGAATGTTATTGTTTTATAGTTATGTTTCCAAAAGTAATAACAATCTTATCAACTTAATAATTATGATCATACGTTTTTAAGCTCTATTAGTAAGAGACAATAAGAGCTCATGCGATAGCAAAGTGTCTTTCGTCCATCCGTCTGTCTGTCAACATTATTTTCAAAATGCTACTCTTCCTACAGTTTAAGGTCAGTAAACATGGTGGATAAATTCAAGTTGTGATGTTGACATGCATGTACATAAAAAAAAACCGATAGGTTGTTCTTTAATTGTATTTTTTGGTTTAATTTATGTCTAGTATAACTAGATTTTTGAGGTCAGGTTAGAAACGTTAATAAAATAGAAATTTACTGATTCTGTGCGGAAGTGAATTACTCCCACATTTACACCATTACGGATATCCTAAGGAGTTGCAACCCCCCCCCCCCCCCCTAAAAAAAAGAAATGGGCAGAAAGCTACATATTGCAGCTAACGAGTAGACTGCACTTAAATGCATAATTGTGTAAATCGGTTTTTGATTTCGATGAATGGCGTCGCTGTGGTTACTAAAAATAGAAATTTCTGTGAAACACTTTGAAGCGCTACTCCTCGTTAAGGAAGCTCTAAACACTAACGGAAACTGTTTTTTGGATAGAAAAATATATCATATATAGATATGCATATTGAGACTTTTTCATTTATTTAGAACATAGGGTACGTGCCTTATTTGTGCAGGAAAAATGTTCAAGGACCAAGAATTATTTGTGAGCAGAAGTCATTGTTGTTTACTTACATTGTGAAAATTAATGAAAATAATTAATTAAATGTCTTACTCTTGGTCTTATATAATGCTAAAAATATTCTAATCTATTATAAATCATGTAATTAACGGTAAATAACAATTTCTTTAATCTTACATCTAAGGGCAGATCACTCTAACTGCATAAAACTACCTAATAATTAGAGCTCTTTAGTGTGCAGTGTTTAAAGCGTCCTTAATAAGTTTTGGTCTGTTTCGATATAACGTACGAGACTTGTAATTCTGTATATAAGTTTTAGATTTCGATGTCTAGTGTCGCCCTGGTTACTAGTAACAGACGTTTCTTTGAAAAAACGTTTCAAATGCTATTCCTCCTACAGTTTTGCTTAGATCTGGGTATAACTTGGCATGCAAGTAGACTAAATCATGATATACCCGGTATGATTCTATTTAGATGAACGCTTTTGCTATGGTTACTAAAATTAGTATTTGAAAAATTAATGCTACTGCTACAGTATTAGTCTGATTGCAATTTTCCCATAAAAAAACTAAATCAAGGATCATTATTCTATGTATTACTGTTGCAAAGATTCAATTACACTGCTACTTTTCTCTCCCTTTGTTATTAGTACAAACAGTAAGAAATACAGTCTCGACAAAGACTTCTGTTTTTTTTACCATGAAATACTGTCGGTGTTATTATCTACGCAGAGTAAATTTAAGAGGAGTTATCTCTGTTTTTATGTCGATCTCCTCTCTGAGAACCTTTTTTTTTTATCTATTCTTAAAACGCACACTCGTGTCCATATGTACGCGGAACGGACCACTCCTCACTGGTAAATATCTCATTTGCATCGAACAGTCATCATTTTGACAACTCACTACTCTTCAAACACCTGCCTTTTCATTTTCAATCAGCGATGTTTTCAAAGAACTTGATGAATCCACACTTCTACGAATTCTTCGCTGAAGGAAATACCTTTGTGCACTAATTAACCCTATTTACAGCTCACCTAGATTTTTTAAAAGGACCATTTTTTTTCTGAAGTAGATTATTTCTATCGCATTGCATTTTTCCTTCAAATTCCTGATATCATCAAAAGAAACCTTCGCGCATGTCCGCTGAATCATGAATTTTGGTATCAAGTTTAGTGCTTCAATTTTTGGTCACTAATTTCGAGTCTTTTGCTGTAATTACCCTGATAAAACTAATTACCCTATCAAAGAAGTAAAGAGGGACTAATGGAAGTCAGCCTTCATTTGCAGCCTCGATTGTCTTAAGAAATACATTAGATACTGCAGTCTCCATTTTTATTTGATTTTCTTCCTAATAGATTTACTCGACTCAATTGGAAAACTTAATTATGAGAGAATATTTGTTTTAAATTTCAAAGTTCACAAAAAAGAAAGAATTTCAAAGATCCTGCATAATACGAAGAGCTAAAAAACATTCACTTGTAATTTTGTAAATAGCGATAATATTTTTCTCCGACAGTCATTAAGGCGATGGTAAAATCGGTGTTCGGTAATTGTTTTCATTGCCCTGCAGGGTCTAATTCTCCTAATAGCCGCAGCCAAGACATTACTGAAGCTGCCACCTCACAAGAGCTCATACAGCGGAGATTAGGAGATGTCTGGATGAATTAAAGCCCGTTCTACATGATTTTCACATTTGATTTAAAGAAGGATTTATTACCAGCTTTTCATATTTCGAGCCCTGAAGATTCTTTTTAACGTCGATGAGATGACGTTCAAACCGATAGTATATCTTGAATTTATGTGAAACTCCAAACCAATCTATTTGTATGCATGCTGAAAGAAATGGTATTGTATTTGTGTTTCTAATTAATGAGATCTTAGATTTATCTTAGGGTCAGTGTTAGACAAATATAGACGCTAATATCTTGACCTTGATTGAATAAAGATACAAGAGGGTCATGAACCCAGATGATTTTGCTGATTGTTTGATGCCGATTTGATGCTGCTTGTGTGTATTATTATAAGCAATTAATGAGAATTCCTCGAAACAGAAGAAAATCTGTAGATAATAGAAACTATCACGTTAAATAAAAAATTGAGCAAATGTAATCTTCACTGTTATGGAGGTAGATAAGTCATAGGGTCACAATTAAGATCATTCCATGCTGTACTAATTGCGTCTGAGACGAGTGCGTGTACTTTAATTTGTCTTTCTCTAAAATAACTTGGTAAGCCCTTCAAAGACTGTAATCATTTACGGATTGATGAAACAATGCAAACAAACACCTTTCTTACATTCAAAATGCAATACAAAATTTTCTTCGGAAAGGATTGAAAATGGTGGCCTGTAACCTAACAAGCAAATCTTGCCTAAATAATCGGATTAGTAATCAACTGAGTTGAATTTTTCATAGGCGCAATGAAGAGCAATGAAGAAACGCGGGATAAAGTATTATTTAGTATTCCCCATTTTCAAAAGTGAGTTATTTCCCCTGAAGGGAACTCTTTTACTGTGTTTAATACGCATGCGCTATAAATAAAGTCACTTCCGCGGACGTTCTTGATGTAAACATGTTCATGGTGTAATGCCTCTGTCATATGGAAAAATGTTATTGTGTTTGTGAATAAAAAGAAATCTTAACTGATTCATTTTTTATTTAAATTGCCCACTCATTGTCTCTTTCTGGATTTGTATTAATCTTTATATTAGTATAATAAGGCGCTGTGTGTGCCCCCCCCCCCCCCCCCCTTACAAAAAACAGAAAAGAAAAAAAATTACTGATAAAATGCTGATGCATATTCGAATAGGCCTATTTAAAAAAAAAAAATAAAAAAAAAATAAATAAAATAAAAAACAAATTTTCGGTAGTGGATGTTCTGCAGACGGATCATCACTATTTACAAAATGTGCAGAACAAATGTAAGAATTTTTCGTTTTTACGAATTGATCTAGCATGCTGCAGCCATATTTTCTTCTCTGCATCTCTAGGAATTTTTTGGAGACTGATGACATGTCCATCTACAGTTTTACCCCTGAAATTGTTGCATATACAGCAGTAGTTCGTCTTCCGCGACCGATACCAAGAAACTGCGTTTTTGCTCGATTGTATGTCATAAAATAGAACTTTTACTTACAAGAACACATTTGGTGACAATTAAAGGCCTATTTCATTTGAATTAACCGTGTTTCCAGAATTTTTTATTTGTAAAATAATTGATTCACTGCATGCATAGTATTAAAAACTTTGAATGGAATTCTAAATGAATAATTTAATCTCATGTGCTCATGTAACGAAGAAAGACTAATTAAAATAGCATCGACCTGAATTCGTGTTACATATGTCGTATAAAGTCTGAGCTGCATTTAATCAAAGTTTTAGTGCAGGATCTAAGCATATGTACATGCATATTCCCGAGGAAAATACACATTTTGTTTTAGATCAGAGAATTGACAGCAGAAACACGAAATTGATACAATAATTTCCTAGCGTATTTCTTGTTAATTAACGGAAAACATTCTTTTCTCAAGTGTTATTCATGTTTTACTTTTTCTATTGAAAATGTTCATTGAAAGCTGCCATCCCCCCCCCCCCCCAAAAAAAAAAAACACACACAGTTTATACTACGGTAAAGCTATATAAGGGAAATGTAGTATTGTATGCCAAGGAACTGGTACTGAAATAAGTAGCTTTTCGACTTTGGGCAAGGTTTTTCTTTGCTTGTAAACTTTTCCAGGTAAGAAAAAACATATTTCTTTGGCTGCCCCCCCCCCCACACACTTTTAAAGACGATGATACGTGCCTGGCTAATTCGTATAGCTTTCTAGAAAGGGGGGGGGGGGGGCAACAGACCCTTTATAAAATCGCTTATTATCTAAAAAAAA